TATGATTAATTTTGATTTTTAATTCGTTTAGATGTGAAAATAAAGGTGCAAACATTATAATGGAACATCGATTATTATGGTTTTCTAAGTTAAGAGATTTAATTGCTAAACAAACAGCAACAATTCAAAAAATAAAGTAAGATATGATATATTTTTTTAACTTTAATTTTAACAAATTTTAATAACTATTAAGCTTTTTAAATTTGTTATTATATATCTTATCACTTTAGAGATGAAAATTTTTTAAAAGAATGGAGGCGGGATAAAAGAAGTTATACCAAAGCTATGCAAAAGGCAATGAAGAGAAATGAAGGTATATATTATAAAATAAATGTTATTATTTTATTATTTTTATATTAAATAATATTTTTTTAATAGATGACATTCCATTTGATATTGATGTTGAAGATTATGCTTCTATATTCAAACAAAATTCTAAATTGGTGAGATATGTTTTTTATCTTTTTATTTTCTTTTTCTACAAAATTTTACAAAAATTTTATTAAAAATTCATTAATTTAAATTATAGAAAAAGTTGAAATCAAAGAAAAAAGATAAACAAAGATTTTCATCACCTATGTAAGTAAAAATTTATATTTATACTTATATTCAAAAATATTTTATAATTTATGAGGTAAAAATATTATATAAAATTAAATAAAAACTTTTCAGAGATATTAACAAGAAAATTAACGAACTGTTAGAATCTTTAAATAAACTCGAAATAAATATTACGTATGAAAAAAGTCCTAGAACCAAACAGAACTTGTATAAAAATGAAATAGAAAAGGTATTTAGATTATTTTTTTATACTAAAATTTTAGTAATCATTATAGAAAGAAAATACATTCTTATTAAATGGTATTGAATCTCATGCATTTTCTTTGAAATTTCAGATATTACAATTTCAAAATGAAATTCAGAATTTGCGAAAATACAATGAAATCAATGAACCATATAAAGTATCATCGCAAAATTAAGATTGCAATGATATCAATACCGATCTCTTTCTGATTACACCAGGAGTATCAGTCTTGACATATTTATTTAAATAAATCAATAGTAATCACATATCGTTTCAATAATATTAATTACACATTCAGTACTTAATACACGACGAGATAACTGGAAATATTATTGTACACACATCGTTTTTTTTTAGTGTTTAAAAAGTATCAAAAAGAGAAAACACGTATTAAAAAAGTCTATTATAAAAAAGTTATGCATTCGAAAAATGATTTGTATTAAATATAATAAATATATAGAATCTTTATGTAGAATGTGCATTAAAATATTTTGTGTAGCAAAAAATACGTACATATAATTAATAAATCATAATATAACTATATATAAAAATAAAAAAAAGAAAGTAACAAAATATATAAAACATTTTTACTTTCCAGCCTTCCCGTCTACACAACCCTTTTTTCTTTATTGTTTTTTAATGTAAGATCGTCGCAAAAATATATAGCGAATATAAAAATTCTACAAATTGAATAATCCGAATTAAAATAGATAATTATAAGAACAATTTTCATGTTCGAAACTTTTTTTTTTTTCTTGTATATGGCACTGAATATATGATTCATTCCATATTTAAAATCGAAAAAATGACATTCTTAGTTCATGATACAATTGTTTTGCAGTAGTATTGTGATTAATAGTAATTATAAGGCAAATATCTAAGATCTTTATATTTATTTAAATTTTTTTTCGCGTTATGTATCTATTTGTAAATTTACCTTATTCGGTAATTACTTTCTATTTTGACTCTGTACATTTGATACATTGACGCATACAATGCGATACAAACAACTAGCTTGTTAATTTATAACTAATAATGTAAAGACTTAATCATTATTACTAATTGTTAGTATTGAATACACATTATCCGTTTTCTTCTGAATATAAATAATTTTTGTGTATTTATAAATGAATCGGTTATTTGCAATAGAATAGAAACTTATTATCATTAATAAAGTAAGCAACAATATAAAACATAACATGTACGTTTCGAATGTTTCTGTGATAAAATTAGATTAGTAAATAATTAGTTGTTTTCGGACGTGTGAGCACTAATGAAATAATCAACATTTTCTAAACAATTCTATATATATATATATATATATCACATGTTTCGTGACATACATGCGTATTATATAATACGATTGTAGAGCCAATTAGGAATCATTAATTATATCGACATCCATATAAACAAGAATAACATTAATTAGGATGGATATATTAAACATAAAAAGGCCTCGCAATAGGCATATTAAATATTAATTATGTACATACTTCAAAGAGAACATTTTGTAATTGGGCAGTACAATACCTATAGATTAGGTGATTTTCTTAGAAACGCGAATCCAATGTTAAAACTAGTTTTATTTTTTTTATAGCGTTTCAGTAAAAGCGAACCGATCGAAGTTTTTCTATCTTTGACTCACAGTTTTTTCGTCATTTGCATGTGTAGTTTTTATAAGAAAATATTTTTCAATGGATTAAAAAGCTTCGATTAATTCATTAATTGAACACACATACTGGTATTTTTTTTTTTTTTTCATCGTTCATCATTCATCACATATATACATTCTTCAAACTTTAAAAAAAATTTCCTATTAACATACAAGCATACTGGATATACTGAAATCTCATAGCAATGTACAACATAAATATAAAATTAACATATTCTCCTTTACTATTTGTTTTTTGTTTATCTCATTTAAAGTTTACTATTGCACATTTTACACTTTCTTTTTCATATTCTCCCCACTCAATACAACATATATTTTGTTGTATATATATTGCATGCGCATATTAAACACATTTGAATAAGTTTTATTTTTTTTTGTTTACGGTTTAAAAAGACAGATATCTCGTAAGACAATTTTCAAAAAAGAATTACGAGTTATTAAAAGTTGCATAATATAAAATCTGTCTGTATTATTCTTTTTTATTCCTAAGAATGTATTTTTATCGAATTCTGTCCATTGTACGAAAACTCACAAAGACAGAAAGCTTTTCCAGATTGTTAGATAATAATAAATACATTTCTATATTATTCGAAACTTTGTTTCAAAATCGTAGAATCTTTCTTCAAAGATGGTCCAAGCAGATACACTTTATTCACAAATATCACTGGTGTACTCACTCTTTGTTAGAAACTTCTACACATGGTTTTGATTCCGGGATGTTCTTCATGTGCTGGATTTAAATCAACGAAGCCGAGTTTACTATAAAATTCATGAGATTCTTTGTCAGTGCATGACATTGTTGTATGCACACCAAATGAACCTAAATAAATTTTTTTTTATAAAATATATTATTCCATAAATATTAATATATAAAATTATATAAAAAGTTATTTACCATTTGCTCTTAGAGCCGCAAGAATACATGTAATTAATCTTTTAGGGACAGATTGATCTGTTACACTTGGTAACACAGCGCACAATAATTTTGATGGATGTTGTCTACATAATTGATCAGACACATCCGGAACAAATGAATGGAAATAACGTATGGCATCCTAAATTTTAATATTAAATTAAATAGATTAAATAGATTATTGATTAATAGATAAACGATATTTAAATAATTAAATTATAAAAAATACCTGAACATTTTGTGACAAGTCATTAATATTGTCATCTAAAGGGTATTTCATTCTCAATTCAGGAATCCAAGAAACTGCTAATTTTTGATAATAGGACTTTACATTTAAGGCAGCCAATGCATAACCTACTATTCCACTTTCATCTTCAACTACCATACATAACTCTGGACTTAAAGTTAGGAAACCTCCAACTAATCTGTTATCAAAATTCAATATTTATAATTCCGCATTTTAAAAAAATATTATTCATATAATAAAAATATCGTTTTTACCGATCTGCAATAGCAGAAGACGTTATACAATTACAAATTTTATTGCACACGGCATAAACTGCATCTTCGTCACTTGCTAAGTAAGGCCTAATTGTATAGATTTTACTACTGGGCACTTCTGGTGCTTTATAAACAAATAAGTCATTTCCACTATCTACTGGAATTAATCTCTGCAAGATAAAATTCATATTAGTTTTCTTTATCTTTTCTTCTTTTTTTTATTAATGTTAATTAATAACAATTATTTATATTAATTAATTAATTAATTCTAATTTCTTTTTAATATTTTTATTTTAATTTTTTTTATTAAATATACCTGTAGATCAGCCGTAAGTCCTCCACGGAATACCCATGGCTCTTGATCTCCACTCATAAAAGTTTCTTTCCAGCCATTCGAGAACCCTATCCCAAGACACAAGTCTTAATAAAGTAAAATACGAAACATTGTGTACGCGCGATTATGCAATTTTTTTTTAAATTTATGAAATGGCCTCCACTGCTCTGAATACTAATTTTGCTTAAAATTTGTAACATGCATATAATAAATTTCGATCAATGGTATTCTAATATTTTCCTTAAAATAAAATTAATATTGTTTGTATTATTATATCATTGTATTATTTAAAAATTCAGAGGAATTTATTAAATGTATTTACGAATGTATTTACGAAATAAAGAAATCCATTAATCGAATACAAAAACTACGGTGCACCATTTCATTAATGAATGAAATCATACATAACTTAATCATGTTTAAATTGATTATTTATACATTCACTGAACAATTTTTAAATAAAAAAAGAAAAAACTCATGAGGTATTTTGGGAAATGAATGTCATTAGAGGAAGATTAATTTTTCAACTAGAGAAGATCATATATATATGTTAAAGTTTAAACCAATTACGACTAGAGTAAAATATAATAATAAAGGAATTAAAAATTGAAGAATGTTGCACCAAAGTTCGCGCAATGATAAATTCCTGAGATAAAAGAAAAGGAAATGGGATTAGGAAAATGGTAATCAATCAGTTTGCCAAAATGCGCCTGAAATAAAACTCCTATTACTCCTGAAAAGAAGCAGTTTCTGGAACTAAAAGAAATTAGTACAGGCAAGTTGGCAAAAGGAGGATATATTCCTGGTCATTCACAATTTACAAAAGATGCCTTTCATAAATGCAATAAAAACTTTTTTTAATGAATTGTAGCGAATTTTGCAAAAAATAAATATTTTTAAAAATTCTAAAAAATAAAATAGAAGCATGGAAGACACAACTTTAGTTGATTGTGTTTAACCAGTATAATTCTCAGGAAAAGCTCTCAACATTTTATGAAATTCTCCTAACTTCGCCAATTTTTTAGAAATTTTAGATGGACTTACTTCACATGCAAAAATTATTATCACATAAATTTTTTCGAAAAAGTTATTTTTGCAAACAAAATTTGCATTAATATAATTTTAAAATATATTTAATATGAATATATCAATGAATTAAAGTGCAATTACAGACAAAAATGCCGAAAATAAAATAAAAATAGAACAATATTAGCAAAAAAATATTTTACAAGAAACGAAAAAAACTTTAATAAATGCTTTGTGTGAATTTTTGCAAAATAAAAAAGTATGTCCATCACGTATCAAACTACGTTAAATACTAGAAATATTTGTGTTGAATACATATAGATTCTTCAAGACATCAGAAGGCTGCTTCTACGCGCAAATCTCTTGCTTATATTAATTACAATGTTCTTTTACAAAGCTTCAAACGCGAATTGAAATTCTGCTATAATTTTCACCGGTTTGAAGCTTTGCTAGTCGCGCGCTTTTTATTGGATTACTCAGACTGGTGAATCGCATACATGTGTAGCTTCCCTGGGTAAACGTTGTCATCGTCGACGGGAATCTGCCAAACGCTATCAACAAGACAAAAAACACAGAAACGCACGTTAGTCAATGAATTAAAGCTGAATTGTTCCTCATACACTTATATTGCTGACAGAAATTATTGGCTACAAGTATTATATTTATCTCTTGAATAATATATCTTATTATGTTGAAATATATAAATTATGAATTTGTGAAAAATGAATGTAACAAATAAATTTCTGCCAAACATTATCTGTGAAAGAAAGTCAGCCAATATGTTAATAGCTGGCACAAGGTTATTTAAAACATGGTATTTGTTCAGGTCCACATAG